ATTTGTTTTTAATTTGGAAAATATTATGGAAAGGGCCTTGTAATTGTGGCTGCAGCTGCCAGTTACTTCTGAATAAATCTCAGACTTTGTCCAATTTGGACGTTGCACAGTTCAGATTTTAATCAATAAAGGTGTCCCCCTAAACTACAGCATTTAAGTAAGCATTTGCCTCCACCTAGTGGTAAATGTTGGTTACTGAGGCTAGAGCTATATAGAGCTGTATATTTTTCAGTTCTTAAAATTTTACATTTTTTAATGATGTTAACAAAAAAAACAATACAATACCATCTTTTAATGATTTCTTTGAACTGATCTTTTCCCCAGGTGAACTGATTGTACAGCATGCATCTTTAATGACTTTAACAAGTTTGAATTTAGTTTGGATTTTCTCTAAACCACACAGCCAAAAGTATACATACAGACTCTTAACATGTACATAAACTTCCTTTTTTTAATTGTATTTTTAATTTATTTTTTAAATAAATGGTGCTGAAGGTTCCCATTAGTGATCACATTTGACTACAACTGCTAATTTCTCATCACCTCTCATCATAAAAAGGATTTCTTTGACAGCACTAATTGGATTGAGCAAAACTTTTTAAAAGGGAATGTCTAAGCAGCTCAGTGAAGAAGGAAATTTGTAGATTTGCATAAGCTGCAAAGGGGCAATTTCTAAACAACTGCAGATTCCAAGATCATCAGTTTAAACAAGTGCAGTGTAGGTTATTTTCATGTGTCACCACTTTGCCAAAATCTGGAAGAAGTGTCCAAACTGTCACCCTCAGATAAGAAGAAATTGGTTAGGATGTTCAAGAACCACCAAAACTCAAGCCTGTGAGGGTGCTGACCAAGAAGGGAGCCTCTGCTCCAAAATCAACACCTTACAAGCCAAAATGCCTTCTGGAGGAAAGTCTGGAGAAACACTATCTGACCAAAAAGACTGAGCTATGTGATCACAGTAAAGAGCTATGTTTGAGTTTCACAATAAAAGTGAAACTTTCAAACCTAACAACACTGAACCAGCTGTCAAATTTGGTGGTGGTATCATCATGTTCTAGGATTGTTTTGCTATCAGTAGTACTGGTACATTGCACAAAGTGGAAGAAATAATGCAGGACTACCTCAAGATTCTTCAGCTTCATCTCAAATCAACAACTGTTGCAAAGCATCAAAGCTGGTTTTGGAATGGATAAAGCAACTGGAATGACCTTTCCAAGGCTCTGACCAAAACTCTATTGAAAATTTGTGGACTATGTTTGAAAGCTGGGTCAGTGCCAGGAAACCAACCAATTTAAATGAACTCTTCTGCCAAGAAAGAGTAAAATAAATTCAAATTCAAACTTGTGCACCCAATTTTTGTTTTTATCATTCCACCTTGAAAGAAAGAACAGTTCAAAATCATCATTAAAGCCCCCAATTACCATGATATTCATGACCATGATGAGTGTATGTAAACTTCTGACAACTCTGCATTCTCACATACAAAACTGAGTATTATTTTATTGCACACAAAATCTTTTGGCTGGAGGCTGCAGGTAGAAAGCTGATAAAACAGACAGGGCTTCTAAAATACCAATTCCATTGCATTATACACAGGACTGGTTCAGTTTACTTTGCAATAGTCAGCTACTGACCATAACTGACATTATTTCATGTAGTTAATAACTAAATCCATTAATTTAGAATTTCTTTGAAAGTAATTACTGCAAAGTCAGAGATGGATAGATATTTCTATGCAAACAGAAGAACTTTGCATATTCAACATTTACAGTTAGTCAAACCAAATTAGCCTTGCAAAAACAGAGGCCTACTATACAAGACAAGCTACAAGTGTGCACTTCAACAGCTTCATTATTTCATTGGTAATGATGAATAAAGTCATATTTTAAATAATTACTGAAAGGATAATCAAGTAATCACTGACAAAGTAACTATAATCCGATTACATATCTTTTTAAAAATGAATTGCGCTCAGAGTTACTTATTTGTGTAACCTTATTAGCTAAGAGATTATTTGCTGGATTAGGTATAAATGTTACTGCCCTAATGTAATGAAATCTATCATAACACAAGCTCTTTTTTACAGTGTTGCCTTTTCAGACACAGCGTCATTAATGCTTATTAAATAAAGTGAATAAAAAGAAAAAGTGAAAAAAAAAAATACTTTGACTTGACCAAATAACTAGCAGTTGCTTCCCACTATAAGAGAGAACAGTGCGATTCCAAGTATAAACCATTACGTGTTGCAAACACGTTGCGGTTTTTAACCTTTAACCCACTGCTGCACGAATCAATGGGTAGCAAGATGAAAGCAAAAATACAATTTGGACAACAGAGCTAGATTAGAGACGTGTGTGAACCAGACTGTGTAGTCTCTACCTTGTCATTTGTATGTTTCCAGTATCAGCAGAGGGCAGTGAAGCTTGCTAGGGTAAAGACACTTCTGCGACTCAAGGAAGGGCCGTTGCTATTAGGGGTGCCAGATTTGCTCGTTTTCCACGGACCAGAGCAGTCTGAGCGATTAACTCTTTAGGTATATTGCATTATTTTGTTTGTTTTTTTATCATTATTATTGCATACTTTTTAATCTACATTTTGCTAACTTTATTTTATGTGGGACACTCAAAAAGAAGTTGAAAGAAGTTTTGAAAATAGAATATCATTATGTTACTCGTGGTCACAGCAGGGCAGTAAAAAGAAAAGCTTACAGTGCACCAAAATGACATTTTAATTAAATTTGGCGTGCTTTTGTGTGCTTGCACACAAAAAATAAATTCATAAATCACACGTGACCACGAACGGTGTCGTTTATGCCAAAGAATCTGCAGGAAACACAACTGGCAACTCCGCCGACCATAAACTGTATGCATATCCATGATAGAGCAAGGCGTTGTTAGCAAACGGTTAACTTCTGCCGTTTAGTTGCCGAGGTTCGTGTGTCGGCAAATTAAAAGGAAGTAGTCTTTGTATTTAACATGGGTCCAAGAAAAGACTGTCTTTATGTTGAGCTGTAGTTGATAACTGCCGAATTATTTTGTTTTGGCTCATAGACGGCGTTAATTGGAATACAAAGCTTGTTTTGTCGTGGCTAAACTTTGCTAGCTCCAAAGCTAGCCTGATTGAATGTGTTACGTCCACCGGAGAACCCTCTGGACTTGGAGGAAGGAAGGAAGGAAACTGATAAGTAGGATAACTGCGCACCTATGCTTCTGCAAAGCTAGAACTCTTTAGGACTCTTGAGTTAACACCGTGACGCATTTAGAAAAGGTGACTATCTGTAGACTTCGCGTGATATTTGACACTGTTTGGTTAATGAGATATGCTGTTAGTTGGCATAGCTAGCTGCTAGCGCCACGTCTCTGGGCTAGCTGTACAGCAGACGAGAGCTATCCTGTTAGCCACAAACTTCCAAAGAAGTTGTGTAAGTCAGATTTTTCTTTCTGGTTGAGTTGGTCAAGGAGCTGAACGGTGATTAAAGCATTTCACGGTCAGACTCTTTAACTCTGATCTGCTGTACCACCGGGACAACCGGAGAAACTTATGGCATCGGATGTGATTGAGAGTGAAGCGGTGCTGAAGGGTGTAAGTGATATGAATTTGAACAATAGCAGCCCAGATACTGTCACACCCAGGAGGACTCTTGAGGATTTGAGAAACAGACAGACTTCCAGCCCGTCATCATCCGGTGTATCGGGAGAAGGCGATGACGAGGAAACAGACGAATTGCAAAATAGCACAGCTTCTGCTGCAGAAAAGGGCGAAGAGGAGTTTCAAGACAGTCTAACCAAAACAAGCGGTACGCCACAAGAAAGGAAGACTCCAGACAATGTGCAGAAGCAACGAGGAAAAAGCTCTACCCCGGTGAGCGTTCCCCAGCCACGCTCACCAGCTGGAGACACTGGAAGGTGTGTATTTAGACATTTTTGTGTTTTCCTTACATAGAAGCAAACTATGAGAAAATTAGCACAGATATGGTTTAGTCTCTCCCAGAGTCAAACGATAGTTTTGTCGGTGGTTCTAAAGTGGACCTAGGTGTACATGTGACTGTTTGTTTATCTGCCTTTGTATTGGTTATAGCGTAGTCTGACGGCCCTGTGTCAGTTGGGATAGGCTCCGGTGGCGTGCCAAAGAGCGTTGTATCATTGGCCTACAGTCTGTGAAATATATCTCAGACATGTCTCTCATGAATGAAGTCATTTTCAGCCAGAAAAGCATCCCTGTCATAGGGTAGAAGCTGAAATCAGTTTTTGGAAGAGTGACTTTTATATGTCCTTTTATTTATTCAGGTTGAAAGTCTCATTAACATTAAAAATTCATTGACATATTAAAAAAGAAACATCAGGAGTCACTTTTTAGCACAATATCAATCCTCTGCAGAAAGATTTGTCAAAGCTATGGATTTCAGAAATGACAAGCCACCTATCCTTAACTATCATTGTCAATAAATATTGCTTACTGGGAGCCAATCACTCTTGTGTCTTCATTCCATTTCTCTTATTAGATATTTGTCAGTAAAGTTTTTTTCATGCAGGAAAAAATAAACAACTTGACATGGCGTGGATACTTAAACTCTAACACATTGTACTTATAGGTGTGTTTTTTATTTATTATTTTGCATTTTTTGCAGTAATCTTGAAAGTTGCTTGTCCAGGAGTTAATTTCCGAAAATGTCATCATTTAACCTCAGAGTTCATCTACGTCTTTGGTAGCACTGGTACTTTGCTCTAAAAATAGTTGTTTTCAACATCTTGCCAGAAACTGTTGGAAACCAGCCATCCCAAAACTAATTCAGGACCATCAGATTTCTTTGCAGATCTTAAGTTCAGAAAAAGCTGTTTCAGTTTAGCCAAACTGGTCAAAGGTTTGCCTAACTTCTGAACTTGTTAAGATGTGAAATTGAAAGTCTTCTCTACAGACATTAGTGCACTCTGCTCTGCACCTCTGAGAGATTTTTAAACTAAGTATTGTGAATTTTAACTTGGAGGGAGCTATAAAGAATGGTAACAGACTTCAACCCTTCACATAACTAAAACAGAAAAACGCAGCAAAAATAAATGTAGATAGAATGATAATCTTACATTTGTTTCATTTATGTTGAAATTATGAATATGAAAAATGACTTCTTAACTGGTAACACATTTACTTTTGCCTTGAGCTTTATTTAAACAAATTAGCATTGCATCTTTAAAGTTTTTCCATAGTTGAACCATCCCCCACTGATATCCATATTAATTCAGTTCTCTATTGTGCTCAGTATAATAATTACACCTTTAAAATTTCTGTCATCTTTTCCTTTTGACTATTTAATGTAGCTAATTTCTTTCTATATGCTTCCATTTGCATTGATTGCAATGGTTCCCTCTCAGGAAACTACTAGCAGTTGGATTTCAGATGTAATGTGAGGATTAGCACCATGTACAAGTAGACAGCTAAACTGACATATTATGAAATGTTGAGTAGTGAATGCCCAGAATGTTTTTGTGCCTGGAAGTACAAATACTGCAGTCTATATGATTAATGCATCAAAGGGAGCTTGGTACAACTTGGATACAGATACCATTGGTCTGCACTGGTGAGCAGTCGGTTTGTAAACTAAGCCCTTAGCACAAGCTTATAAGCTTTTTAAAAAGCTACGGTTCTGATTAAGTTTCACTTGCAAGCTGAAACTGAGATTTTCAAACATCTATTTCATATGATTACTTTTGTCTCATGTTAAGACATTTTATTAATTGAAAACACAGGCAATGAGGATAAGCTTCCTTTTAGGTTGCTTTAATCATTAAAAGCCACAATATTGAATATACAGTCCAAAAACATGCTTTTATCTCCATAATCTTTTTACCCCACACTTTACAGTTGCTCTACTTTGTTGGCAATGAAAATGTAGCCTGACAGATATAGGATTTTTAGGATCAATACCAATAGTTGGTTATTTTATGAGTTCAATATTTTAGATATTTTTTCCCTTTAATAAATATGAATGCGACACTGCATAGTAGTGATATGTAAAGAAGATTTTAGTTTTGCAATTATAAGTAATATTGGTGGGTGAATCAATACTTGCAGGCTCTGGTGCCTTCATTGTAAGGGTCAAAGATATTTTTCACCTCCTTACAGTTCTTGGGGGTCAAAAATTACTCAAAAATGCCAACCCTTATTTTGGACCTACAGACCTGTAAATGTATATTGATTCTGTAAGTTGGCAGCATTTTGATTATTAGAGGACTGTTTTGTTTTTTGGTTTTGTTGGGTACCTTTTGCATTAGTATAGCTTAAGTAAAATTCCTTGTCAGTTTATTAATTTAAAATCGAATTGATTTGTTTCGAATAAATCCAGTTATTATGGCAGATGTTCTTCCTTCTTTATTTGTACAGTGTATGCTCATGTGCTTTTGTGTAGCCAAGTGTACCTATTATACACTGACTTTTTGAAGATTTTAATTGATGATGTATTAGCCCAAGGACAAAAATTGCCTTACTTTCAGCACATCAGGAGTGCGTCTGCATTTTCCCCTTAATTATTTTAAGACTAAACAAGTCATTGTTTTAAGATGCCCAATTACACGTTTGGATTTCACAGATAATTTCCGCTTGCCCTCCTCCTGATCTTGATACATTTTCAAGTGCAAGACAACAATCGAGCAGTTAGAGATTGTTAACCATAACAGATTGTTCAACCTTTTTCCCCTTTTCATTCCCAGCCTTGAACGTCAAGAGTCAGTTGCCACAACAGAAGCCCGCCTCAGAATGGAAGGAGTTGAACTTAAGGAAGAGTGGCAGGATGAGGACTTTCCACGGTACTGTCTCAATCACACTTATATCATGCTTCATAGCTTTGCATCACATGTTTGGGTTTTTCAAAGTCCCATTAACCGTGACTCTGCTGAATGTATCATTATCTTTTGTATGAATCTTAGGCCTCTCCCAGAGGAAGAGGAGCTTGAAGATGAGCTTTTTGCAGAAGCTTCTGAGGCAGGAAACTCTGGTAATGAAAACACAATACTGTTCTTTGCATTGCTACAGTCAAAAACAGAACACTGAAGAACAAAGTTTTTGCATTTTAAAGTGCACATGGCCATATGGAGGTTAAAAGAGATACTGGTTGCTCTTCCATTCATGTGCATTCAGCTGAAACTGAGGCCTGAGCAGTCTGAGTTTTACAAATCAAAAGAGTAATTTCTGACGTGGTCTTTTTAGTACAAAATCCTCTCAGGTAGGGGTGGGCGGTATAAAAGGTATACGGTAGAAACAATATAAAATTGGCCAACGGTAGAGATTTTGACTTTACTGCGATAGCGCATGTTGATGGTGTCATCAAGCTGCGCCTGTTTTGGTCGAAACTTCAATAACCCTACATAGTCACTGCTGTTTAGTTTTCTGTCTTCATTTATGTTGGAAGTGATGGCAGAGCTGTACGTTTGAATTTTTTCAGAGATCTCTCAGTCAGAACATGCTATATCATGTTTAGGTGGAAACTAGCGAGCTAACTTCCTGCTAACTTCTAACTCTGTTAAATTTAATAAATTCTGTTTTCATGGATGCCTGGATGTTAAACTTAATTATTACACCTGGTAAAGTAGCAACGCTGATAATTTTATTAAAGGTGAAAGAATTTAGGCAGTTTTTATGCCGCAGTGTTTGATTGACTTTGGGACCTGAAGCAGACAGAGTTTTGGACCCAGATTACTCCGCAAGGCTCCTGACTACGGCAGCCGTAATGCTCCGGCAATCCATCAAGCGGTGCGCCTTCATAGCTTACCAAAGTCGTACTGAAACATTTTTGACAGATTTCTGCGCGCCATGTACTACATAAAATCGGTTCGAGGTCAGTAACCACAACCAGAATTCATACATAAGGCACACTGTTGATTTTTGAGAAAATTAAAGGATTTTAAGTGTGCCCAATGGTGTGTAAAAATATGTTATACAGAAAAAAAGAATATATCGCGATATATATCGTTACCGCACATGCTTCAAATTATACTGTGATATTTCTTTGCCAAGCTGCAGTGGAATGATGTTCGCTGAAACCAAAATTTCTATTTTAAAAGACTGTAATGTTTAAAGTGTCACTTAATTTCTATAGCAGTCAAGCTTCACATTGGTGTTGGCTGAACTTGAAAGTATTTGAAAAGTATTTTTTCATAAACAAGTTCTGTGAAGTACCAAAGCACAGTATTAAACTGGCTCTGGAGCTAATTAAATACTTTAGTACTCATTATCCCTGGCATTGTCAGTTCTGCTTTCATTGCTATGGAAATTTGGAAAAGAGATTTCCTTTTTGTCATGAGTATATAAACATTATCATTAATGTCAATTTCAATTTTATTCATATAGCACATTTCATGACATGTAAACTCAATATCATAAAAGATGAAAAAAAAAAAACTTGACAAAGAAATACAAGGTAACACACACTCACACACACACACTGTGTGCTGAGCTACAGCCAGGTGGTAGAGCAGGCTAACCTACTAATCAGGTAGTTGGTGGTTCGATCCCCATCTGCATCTGCTGCTCTGTGTGCCAAATATCCAGGATGTTTGGAACCATTAAAATGTCTGCACCTGATGGCCTGAGAGATCTAATTGGGTTATAGATACTGAGGAAGTCAGAGATCTACTGTTGAGCCAAACCATTGAGGGCTTTATGAACTAATAGAAGCATTTTAAAGTTAATTCTGTACTGAACTGGGGGCACTTCAAAATTTGGGTAATGTGTTCCAATTTACAAGTATGTGTGAAGGTTCTTGCTGCATTCTGAACAAGCTACTGATGATTTGGATAATCTGCCAAATAGAGCATTACAGTAGTTTCATTTCCCCAGTATGAATACATGGACTCATTTCTCTGAGCCAGTTTCAAAAAATAATTTTTATAGCATATTTTAGTGCATATTTCGAACTATTATTGGATATTTTCCCTTCATAAATTCTTAAATTTGCTCTTCCGTTTCTGTCTTTAAATACCAATTTAAAATAGATCTTTTTTGGTATTAGCAGTAGAAAGTTTTTATAATTTCTTTTATAAGGAAAACTGGTAAGACTGCACATTAAAAATACTGTCAAAATTAAAAGCCCTGCATTCATTTTTAGTTGAAAATTATCTTTAAAGAGTTTATTATCAGCAAAAGGTTATTCCAAAGCTTTTAGTATTACAGCATATGATGCACACACACATTAAAATAAGTACCAACAAGAATACTGCCTATGCAATAGGTTAAAATGCCTCTTCCTACCAACCCATGATTCCAATCCCTACTTGAATAAGAGACGCACCAGAAAAGAACTGCTCACCACATGTAATCACTGTGTTATCTCTGACCTGAAAAAGCTTGAACCTTTCAAAAAGCTGTTCTCACAGTAGACCGTATAATCATTATTGATTTGACATCCTACCCTAGGCTACGCAGTGAACAGTGGCAAGAAGACTAAGAAAAAACTTGCAGCTCCAGACATCAGTCTCACTCTTGACCGCAGTGAAGGTTCTCTTCTCTCTGACGAGCTGGATGAAAGCACAGAGCTAGACCTCAGTGACATGGACACGCCCTCGGACAACAGCAATGAATTTGAATGGGAAGGTAGGAATTTTATATAATTAAAAATATTGGTCTGGTACTTCTGGTAGTATCCTTTAACCCTCATTGTTTCACTTTGCTTATTTAAAGGCAGATGTTACACATCATCTTTTAGATGAGGTCTAGTTGGGATGTTATTTTCACAACAAACAGAAGTTCTCCAGTCTTTTTTTTTTTTTTTTAATTTCTGGGTTCTTGCGTCCATGTGCTTTTTTTCTTCCTGTATTTTTTACAGGTTTGCTTAGGCAGCTGACTGCCTGCAGTGTGGTTAAAATATGCTTTGTTGTTTTTTGTTTCCACACTGCTGCCTTCCTCTTTTTCACTTGGAAGAATTGTTTCCATTCTCTGCCTGGAAACAGGCTGCAGGCCAGCAACAGGTTTCTCTGTTCCTTGTGGTAAGATCTTTTGGACAGCTGTCTTTTATTTTTCAAACAAATCAAGATGTTTTTTTTGTTTGTTTTTAATTTTTGTTCTTTTGGTTTGGTTTGTTTTGTTCCTCCCCACCATATTTCATACCCTTTCATTTTTACTTAATATATTTGATTCCTCTCCCCCTTTCTTTCAATTGTTCCTGCTTGAGTAAACAATAGCAGGTTATCACTTAATGGTGAAATTGTTGGCCATTTTGTCCTGTTTGATTATCAGTTATTCAGTGAGTCACAATTTAAAAGCATTCAAATTTCAGAGAATAACTACTGGAACAAGAAAACTTCATTGATCTCTGCACGAAAATTGATTTGCCACAGTTGCTTAACACAGTAATAAAAGAGTAAATGCCTTAAGCATAAAACTTAAATTAAACTTGTATTAAGTTATATTGTTCCAAAATCAGACAAGACATGAGACCAGACAAATTAAATTAAAAACATTTTGGTCCTCTTCACAGAAAACACACTCAAGTTTGTTCGTTTGATTTAATCTCACGGTTTCATAAGTTTTGATTTGCTTGTTGCATGCTTGATATCATGTGATCATGTGAGTACTTTCCTTGATGTCTGCATCATGACATTCTGCACATCATGCAGCTATGCTGTAAATCTTACAAACGATCCTCAGATATCCTTGGGCATTTGAGCAAATGCAGCACTCTACAGTAGCAGTGTGTTTTGCTTTTGCTTTCCCACAGGAAATTATGAATTTTCTCCCCAGAAAAAGTGAAGTGGGCATATGGAATTGAGGATGTGAATGTTGGTGTTGATTCAGAAAAAGAACATCCCTCAAGATACACAAGATTAAAGCAAGAAAATTAATGTGCATATGATTTGAAAGTTAAAATACGAATTATCGAGTGATCTCAAAATTGTATCACATTTGACCAAAAAGAATCTGATTTGAATCATGTGCTAAGTTTGCAGCATTCAAGTTGTTAGTTTAACTTGCCTCTTCTCCTTCAGATGATCTTCCTAAGCCAAAACCCACAGAACTACTACAGAAAGGCGTGGAGTCAGTTCACGAGTATTCGGCCTCAGAGGAGAGGGAAGACAGTCGACGCTGGAAGATGCTTCGTATTGGAGACCAGGAACACAGAGTGGACATGAAGGCCATTGAACCTTACAAGAAAGTCATCAGCCATGGAGGCCAGTACCATTGAAGTACCTCTAGTAGCAAGTCTTGAAACTTTACATACAATTTGGCAGCATCTCACTGTACTTATTAGAAGTATTATTTTTAAGGGCCTCTCTAAATAAATTATGAGTGATTCCTAATCTTAATTTCATCTGCAGCCAGGACATGAAAACTACATTTACAGAGTCATCGGTGAAATCTGACAACAAAGACACTTAGGTATATCTGCCCCAGCTTGAGGCTTAAAAAGCTTTCATCACAGAGGTTACACTTTTACAAAATGTTGATTCACAAGATTATGGCTTCATTAACGGTTAAATCCAGTGATGACACAATCAAAGCCATAGTCTGGCTCCTCCCACCAGAGCAAAGAACAAATGGCATGCTAATTAATGTCAAAGACACAGTAAACCCCAAAAAATGCTATGATTGGCTCATATTTTATCCGATCGGTTCTTTGGTAGCAGCACTGGATGAATAAACTGTATTACACGTTTGACATGATTAAATCAGCTTGTGTGTATTCGCAGTATGAATTCCTTTTTCTTTTTTTTTTTAAATATTAAAAATGACTTTGTGGCGTTTGAATCTCTCATTGCAGGTTACTATGGAGACGGTTTGAATGCCGTAATTGTGTTTGCTGTGTGCTTTATGCCGGAGAGCAATCAGCCAAATTACAGATACATCATGGAGAATTTATTCAAGTGAGTTTTTATTTGAAACTTAGTTCCTTCACACATTTTAGAGAGCTGTGTCTAATGCGATATTCTTGTTTCAGGTACGTCATTGGCACACTGGAGCTTTTGGTTGCTGAGAACTATATGATTGTGTATTTAAACGGGGCGACCTCTCGTAAGAAGATGCCAACTGTTGGCTGGCTTAGAAAGTGCTATCAGCAGATTGATAGGAGGTGAGCGAGTTGCACAACTTGGAAAACTGGTTTTTAAAAGACAGACAATATGAGAACATAGATATTTGGGTCACTTCAGACAAATAAGCATCAGATGGTAACGCCTGTCCTCACTCTTCTGTACAGGCTACGGAAGAACCTGAAATCCTTGATAATCGTACACCCCTCTTGGTTTATTCGCACCCTGCTGGCACTCACCAAACCTTTCATAAGGTAACTGTAATGTAAAAAGGTAATAACAAGTCAAAGACATTCATGGTGTAATCTCTTTATTCTGAATGTTTCTGATTTCTTTTTCACAGCTCCAAATTTAGTCAGAAAATCAAGTACGTGTACAGCTTGTCAGACCTTGCTGACCTGGTTCCAATGGAGTATGTGTCCATACCAGATTGTATCAAACAGTAAGTATGGTGTTTGTAGCACTGATGTCTGTGTTGCATTATAGTGGTTTTCCTTGTGGCAAGGGTAGGCCGTAAGTTAGCTGTGTCCCACTGACCTAAATGTGCACACTGCGTCATTATACAGGGATACAGTCTGCCCAAAGCCCATAAGCATTACTATTATTATTATTATCATCATCATATATGCATGATCCCATGTTACAATGGCAAAAACGTTGCCACGTCACTACATATTGCTTCCAGTGTATACACAGCTTAGGTTATTGTTTTGTAAGTATTCTATAAGCTGCTGTTAAATATCGTAGTCTTCATTTCTTTGCTAATATGCATAATTATTGAGCTGCACTACAAATTACTCATACTGTCTTCTTCTTTGAGGCTCTGCACGTGACAAATCTTGTATCGTCACGGCATTTAAAAAGGCAGCACAAATAACTCATCTTGACTCAGTGAAACTCAGTAAAATGTTTTTCTCTTTTGGATGTGTGGTTGCTGTCGGCTGTGTGTTTCTTCTTCTGCCTAACCCGATTTCCCTGCCCCCTTCTTAAGGTTTGACGAGGAAAAAAATAGGAAAAGCCGTAAAAGGTATATGCACTTTCACCCAGGGTCAGCTTCCGCATCTTCTGCATTTCATAAAACTAACAGAGAAATGATGAGTTTGCTTTCAGAAATGCACCAAGACACCTAACTTTCTTTCATTTTCATAGTTGGATGATTTCCAGTTACTGCTTATCCCGAAATCAGCAGCTTTCCTCTTCAACGCCCCACATGTTCATCTGATTTGATTCAGGATTTACCTTCCTAATTAACAGATTGAGAGTCCATTTTTTGGTCTCCAAAAAATAGGTGACTTGGTGATTATTTAACCAGCTAAATAGATTTTCTGAGCCACTTTTGTGAAGATCATCCCCAAAAAACTATTGCATTTACATTTATTACCTCAAAGTAAATCAGCTACCTTAAAATTGTATTCTGCACTTTATAGTTTTGTTTGTTTGTTTTTAAGCCGCAGAGCGTGCTTGCTCACAGCTCATACTTGCTGTCACAAGTCATAACTCTACAAGCTACATGAAGATAAGGTTTCAAGGAAGCTGAATGTGTTGCTGCTTGTTTAGGTAAAAAAAGCCAGGGCATTAAGTTGCACTTACTTGCATTTATCTTGTGAAAAACAGGCTCTTATTTTGAGGAGGTTGGTGTTTGGCAAGTTTGTTCGTGTGTACAAATGAATGGGGTCAAGTAAGGAAGTAGCTCGCCTTAGTCACTGTGGTTTTTGGTGGCACTTCAGCCGTGTCCTCACATGGTTTAGTAACTGGCTCTCACTGAACACACGGTTTGTTCATTCTCACAGCTCTTTGCATGACTCACTGCTTACCCGCTGCCCGCTGATTTTTGGTAATTGCCACCTCTTTCAGTTTTAATATTCTGCTTATTGTTGATTCAGTAATGACCACTCAGGAAGAAATGGTATTCAACGAGACAAAGGCTTTTCTGGCAATATTTAATGTATTTTTACTGCTAAAGTAGAAGCCAAAGTAGAAATTTTTCACTTTTCAATGGAAACAGGAAACTTTTAACGATACAGTTGGTACTGATCTTTGTACTGATCAGACATTTTAAGAAGTTGCATGTATACAAATGATATATACATGTGTATATACAATATATACAAATTGGGATTTGTATATATTTTAGCATTTTAATCTTTTGGTTTTATTGGGCAAACTGGTCTAGTGAGTCTGATCATTTTTATACATTCCAGTGTATAGAAATAATCCTGACACCAAAAAATCCCATTTTGATGGTGTTACAGATTTTGTACAGTTTTAATAACCACTAAACTTGTCTGCAGAATCGATCAGGACATGCACGGCAAAACGGAGAGCGCAGCTGCTACTGTCCCGGAGTGACCTGGCTCACGCTTCGAGACGTGGAAAGGAATGGTGAAGAATGTTGAGGACTGCAGCCATTTATGTTTGTTTTCTGGGTGATGGGACTGGAGGCTTCTTTGCATCAAGAAAGTGCCTTTTTGACATGATGCTGCCTGTTACACATTGGAACTTTTTTTTTGTTGTTGTTGTTTTTGTGCTGCATTTCTGTGTCAACCAGTTAGATCTGCAGCACTTTCTCCACATGCTGTCATAAACTTTTTAATCCTTTTTTATTTACTCCTGTATCTCATGTCAAACTAAGCGCATTGGTTTCCCAGTAGCTACTGGTGTATGTACACTATTTGAGGCACTCTTGTTACAAGTGGTTGATGCATGTTCTACTTTATTACATTTAAAATTATATATTTATATTCAAAAGGTGTTAAAGGAAATAAATTAATATATTTTTATGATGGATCTGATTTTAAACTGCGTATTAGGTCACTGACTCACTGAGTGGCGTTGGATAGAACACGTTTAATGCCATCTTGTTCACTGTTCACTGCTGATGTTCTCTGTTAAAATCCTGCCTGGGGAAAGGAAATCTTTGTTTTTATTTTATCTTCTTTTTTTTTTGATCTTTTTTTATTTTTTGGCCCCTCACTTGAATGTACTGTTTTTGCTTGTTGGGGGTGAACACTTGTGAAAGAAACTATCTGAACCAAGGATGTAGGTCTTTATTTTCTCATTTCCTTCAAAGTAAAGCCATGGATCCATTCTGATTGCTTTGTATCTGTTATTATTGTTGTTATTATTAGTTTTAAATCTTTTTTTGTAATGCAAAATTTTCGGGAATAACAAGATAGTTAACAGGAAATGAGAATTTACAAGAACAAAAACAAAAGGCAACGTGCACTCAGCTATTAATTGTCTATATGGAAAAACAAATGTAGCCTAATGCAGTAGTTCTGCAGTAAATGTGCTTTCAGTTAACTACCTAGTAATTGCAAGGACAAAATTAGAGAAACCTCTGTTTAAATGCAATACAAAAAAATGCAATACAAAAACAATACACTTTAAAAAAAAAAAAAAAGATTTGAATTTCAAATGATCTGTCGTGAAAGTTTAATAGACATACTTTAAGCAATGTTTTTCACCTTTGCGTGTCTCTTCTGCCATACTTGAGCTCCACTAGATGGCACTGCAATTACAGGTTTCACTGACATGAAACTATTAACAGCTCGACAAGAAGGCTTGAAAGAAGTAACAAAAATGACAAGGAACAGTGACAGCCACGGGATTTTACATTTACATGACTGACATTTTAGTATAAATTATTGCTGATCTGAAAAAATCTAATTCACCATAGTTGTTGAAAGAGCAAGGCATTAGACCCCTTTGCTTTGTTACAACACCTCCCAACATTCTTATCATCTTTTTAATCACTAAAGGCAAAAATAAAACCCCCAAAAACATTTTATGTAAATCTAGCAAACAATAGCACAGTAACAACCACAGGCTTTTAGATGTTACATGACTCACTTTTAGATGTTTCTCAATATTTTGAGAAAGACTAACTCTTTGCTCAGTTGTTAATGCTGCTTGGCTTTATGCGACCACTCCAGCTCTCTGCCTTCCTGGTATCTCCTCAAATCACATTCTGCTTAAACCAATAACAAAAAAAACTTAATATAAATCTTTATAATTTATTTAAATCTCAAAAACGACATATCAATGCTATGATATTTACTTAAATAACTCGAATATCACAAATTACACTTTTAAATCATTGTAAGTATTACTCAATGGTCTCATTTTCCTGAGTGGACAGTGGGTCATGGCCTAAAGCTTTGAAACGCAGCACTGATTCCAGACACCTTATGGCAACATCATCAACCTCTGGATCAAACTTATTTGCAAACAGGTGGTGTTGTTTCAGGAGCCATAGGAGGTCACCCGCTCCATACACACAAACAGCTCTTCTGTAAACACCAGTGCATGGGTAATATGGG